GTCACCACCTCACTTTCCAGGGGCCAAAGGATCCTGTTACCCCTGAACAGGGTGTCCACCTGCACAGCCCCTTCCTGGAGCTCTGACCTCAGTGCTTCACCCCAGAGTCTTGGCTGAGAAGACACCATCTGGAGAGGCGACCCCAGGGAGTGAGGGTGAAAACAGAGCCAGACAGAGGAAGGGAGGCCAGTAGATGGTGTGCTGCATTCAAGGAAGTCCCAGGTCTGGGCCCCAGGCGCCACCCTCAGACCTGCCAAGAAGCAAGAAGAATGACCCTCAGAATTGCCCGCCCCAGACCACCCTGATCTACAGGGAGAAGGTCTCCCAGTGCCCACCAGTGGAGGGTGACAGAGAGGCACCAACACCCCTGCACTGGGGGCTGTACAGTGCCTTGTGAGTCAGCCATTGCCATAATAATGCTAAGTAACAACCTACCCCAATGCAGCATCTTAGATAACAGACATTTATTGTTACTCTTGGGAAGAGAGAGACCACCGGGGATGGGGACAGGGTGTGTGTGGGTTGGAGCAGGTGGAATCCCAGTGAGGACCTGGAGGAGGGCACGTGGGGGCCGCTGGGCCCAGACAGTGCAGCCTGGGAGGGAACGGCCATGCAGGCACCGTGTAGACATCCCCTGGACAGATGCGGGCCCTGTCTGGGTTCGGCAGAGCAGGGGCCTCCCCATGAAGGCGTAACCGCCTTGGCTGCTGTGTTGAAAGTTGAGAAGGGCAGAGACAGATGCTGTCTGCATTCAAATGAAAAGGATGCGGAAGTAAGATCAGTGTTAGCCTCCCTACCGTGGACCCTATTAATACAACTAATGTCTGCGTTACTTGAGGCTGTGCATTGCTCTCCTCCTTATTTCTACTTAGAGAATGCAATGGTCTAGCTTTGCTGCCTACTGGGCGGGTGAAAAGTGCGTGCTGAGGGGCTCTGCCTGGGATCCAGGCACTCAGGGCGCCGTGGGCCGCTGTCTGGTCTGCATGCCCTCTGCTGCACCCGAGCGCCAGTCCACACCTTGGCGTGTGCGTCGGCCACATGCCTGGAGACTAGAAGTCTGCCTTTGATCCAGTCTATCTCCTCCTCCAGATCACTTGCTCAGACCTCATGCTGTGTTCTCTCTGTGAGGATTTTCTATCTGCATAGCAGTCATAATGAAAATAATGATTTTTGATACTATCTTTAATATTTATTTTCTATGCCTGTTAAAGAGGAATCTCAATAGGCCTTATCTCTTTCACATTAAGCTCTGTGTATATAAAACTTGAACTCTGGATGACTTTTTAAGTCCGTTTGAAAAATCACCTTGCAATGCTACCAAAATAACATGATAGCACATATTCGTAAGTAACGTGATTGTTTTGAATTGAAGCTATTCTACAAAGAAGCTAAAGGATGGTTAATTGTTCTAGGTTGTATAAGAATGTTTCATATAATAAGTATTGAAACCAGCCTACAATAGTCACCTTTGACAGATGACAGGTGATGTACAGCTGAAGAGATGAGGAGCCACAGGAGACACTCAACTCATCTCACTTTCTCTTGCGGAGAACTTGCAGAATTTTCTATTAGCTTCCATTTTCCCTAAGATAAGCCCAGGCAGACAGAATATGTGCCAGGGATGACTGGTCTGGGATGATGGTGAACCCCCAGACTCCTCCTGTGCCAGTTGTACATTGTCAGTGTGTTTGTTTATATCCTCTGTTAAGACTCTACTGGTCTCTGCAGAAGGTACAGAGTGGAATAGTTCCAATCCCACGCCCAATGAATGTACACTTTAGTGATGGGGCAAGGAGTGCCTCCCGGATTTGTATTTCACATTTCTGAAAGCTGCTCGTTTTTCTCATCACTCTGGAAGACTCAGGGATCATGTGTGGCCCATCCTTTCCCTCTAATTCTCCATCATCGCCTTTCCCCCGTGGGGCTTACTGACATCTGCGCTGGCATCATTGAATTTATGGATCAACGTGGGGAGGAGAGGCATCGTTCCCGGTGCCGAGTCCTCCTATTTGTAACAGTCGGGGTTCAACAAGAGAAGCAGAACCAGTAGAAAATGCCCATTAAGGGACTTATTGCAAGGAATCAGCTTACATGACTCTGGGGTCTTGCTGGGCAAGTCCAGGAAGGGCGGGCTGGAGGTCTAGGTGCAGGCTGGAGACGCTCTGCACAGGTAGCATTTCTTCTTCCTTGGAAAAGCCTCAGTGCTGCTCTTAGGGCCTTTGAACTGGTTGGACCAGAACCACCCAGACTCTCCAGCACAGTCTCCCTTACTTCAAGTCAGCTGATTATTGACTTTGATCCCACCTATAAAATACCTTCATAGCAACAGCTGGATTAGTGTTTGATTGACTAGCTGGTCACCATATTCTAGTCAAATTGACACATAAAACTAACCATCACGGTCCACCACTTGTCGACTTGGCACCCGTTCACATCTCCTTAAACCAGATGTAATCTCCTAATAAAGACAGTAACAAAGGCATACTTTCACCTAATATGACACAATTATCCTTTGTATAACCAAAAACATGTTAACCCTTTCCCCAGAAGAGGATGCAAAGTCCTTGGGTGATGTTTACTCTTCTCCTTTGATGCCTGTAACTTAAATACTAGGATATAAAATTGAATATTATTAATACATCTTATGTTAGATGATAATGGAATAAGAAAGGGAAGAAAACAAATACAATAGCTTAATTTATCTATCATCTATCTATCTATATCCATCTATCTATGTACACACACACAAACACACATACACACAGACAACCATTCATGACAAAATAAAGAAGAAACACTCATGATGATTACAGTCCGCCTTTCTGTAACTGGTCACCTGGTCATAGCTGGCATTTATAACCACCTTCCACCACCCGTTCTGTATTCCCTTTGCCCAAGCAAGTACCTCAGCTCATTGTGGTCTTTACCTGGTGGGGTGACCTAAACCTTTGTTCCTGAAGGATCTGGGTCATTGTTAGTCCTGCCTGGATTGGGTTGTTTTAGTTGTCCATTGACCTTAATCACATGGTGTGGTAATACTAAGAGATGCCCTAAGGGATCTCCTGAATTCCAGACACGCTCTTCCTTACCTCCACTGTGGAGGAGTAGCACCATTTCTCCTTGGTGGTCAGGACCAATCCCCCCAGCCAATACTGTAACTCTCTTCTTTGCCTGTTGATTCAGAGGCATGAGGAACCCAAAGTGGCCGGGAGATTGTTTCCACTTCCAGTTCAATGGAATCATTGTGTGTCTCCTGGTGGAAGCCTTCCTCCCTCTGGAACTACGACCTCTAGGCTAACAGAACATGAAGTTGCAGGAACAGGAAGAAAAAGGTTTGCTGGTGGGTCACTAGCGAGCCCCTCCCATTTCCACCCCTGGTTTCCTGGACCCGTGAATCCAGGCTGTAGGAGAAGCAGCACCATGTATTAGATGCTGAGTCAGAGCATGAACAGCCCCCTGGAGAACCTTGCCTAGGCCTGCAAGGTATTGCCACCCAGCTAGTGCTGTAACTGAGTCTTTGAAAGGCCATTCCGCCATTCTGTCAAGCCAGCTGCTTCAGGATGATGGGGAGCACGGTGAGACCAGGGAATTCCATTAGCATAGGCCCATTGCCACAGTTCTTTTGCTGTGAAGTGAATTCCTTGATCAGAAGCAATGCTGTGTGGAATATCATGTGGCGGATAAGCCATTCTGTAAGCCCATGGATGGTAGTGTTGGCAGAAGCATTGTGTTCAAGGAAGGCAAATCTGTATCCAGAATGCCTGTTCCCGAAAGAACAAAATGCTGCCATTCCATGATGGAAGCCCTCCAGTGTAATTAACCTGCTACCAGGAAGCTGGCTGATCACCAGGGAGTGGGGCCAGCAGTGGCCACAGCTCGGTTAGGGACTCAGTGCTGTTCTCTGCAGGCAGACTGGGCACCCAGCAGTGGCCATGACCAGGTTGGCCTTGGTGAGTAGAAGTCCATGTTGCTGAGCCCATGGTGTGCTTCTCCAAGTTCTGCCCAGTGGGGGGACTTCCCCTCACCACGTCCTTCAGGGATATTGCAGAAAGGGGCTGTTGGCTGCGGCTGTCCACTCTCAGGTGGTGCCTGTGTATCAGGCAGAACCATCGTAGACCGGGCCTGAGTCTTCTCTTTCTCTGTCAGCTGATCTCAGGGAACTCCCCATGAGGCCACAGTGCAGGCTGGGAGAGAGGAGTGTCACAGGAGTGGGGACTATGGGCATTTGGGCCACTTCTTCATGTAACTTACTTGGGCCTTCAGGGTGTGCTTGAGCCCGATCTCATACATTGCACTTCCATTGATAATGGAATGCTGCTTGCACACCCAACTGTGTGGCTTGGTGAGTCAGATAACCCACTTCATGACGGGCAGCCCAGGCTGCATGGTAACTTGGCGGCCCATGGTTAAGCGTTCAGTCTCTACTAAGGCCCGGTAGCAGGCCATCTTGATGCATCAAAGAGATGATTATGCTATTCACCAATATGGCATATCTCTCCAATTACATAGGTCTTACGTACTGTCTGTCAATAAACTTTTATGATTTTACAATTTTCTCCACTATATCTTGAATATCTTTTCAGAAACATTCTCAGGTACCTTATATTTTTGTTGTTATTATAAATGGCTATTTTTTTATTTTACATTAACCATTTTGGCCTATCATCACCTTTGGTGATTCATACTGGTATATTGATCATATACCCAGCCTCTTTGTTAAATCTTATTGTTTCTGATTTGTTGACTGTGTTATTACTTTTGCACTTTCCTTTGTCTATGAATTACATCATTCTCCTGTTTCTTTAGGCACTTCACCCCTCCTCCCTCGTTGTTCTGTCTGGTCAGCAGGAGCAGTCACAGTGGACATCCTATAGTTTTCTAATGTCTGCCCTTCTCCGTTCACACTGGGTTTGCTCTGGAGTTTGCAGCATTTTAGGTTACCACTTTGCAAAGGGCGATAACGAGTGTGTTAACCTGAATTCGGTGTTTTCCCCCGACAGATAACTGTGACGAGCCACTAGTATCTGCCCTGCCCCCATCATCCTTCAGCAGCTCCTCAGAACTGTCCAGCAGCCACAGTCCTGGGTTTGCAAGACTTAACCGAAGAGATGGTGAGTCGGCTTCCTACCTCTTATTGATCGTGGTGAGCTCATTGATTTTCAACAATTCTTGTATTTCTTTTGATAAAGTATTACAAGTGAATTATGTATTGTACAGAAAATAAAATTCCAAACAAATATTTAAACGGATTTACGGGCATGCTTCCATTTGAAATTTGTGGTGTGCAGATATTGTATATCTTTGATCACCAAGAATGGCAAAGCTGGTTTCTCTCCTGCACGTTGGGACTATGGAGCTAATTATGGCTGAAATGGCTGTGACTTGCACTCACATAAACATTTTTACAATCATTTCACCATGAAAATATTTAAACACCTTTGCATATACCAAGTCATTTATCTAGGAAAATATTTTTTTCTATCACAAATATTCACTTTTATGGGTACATTAGCCCTGATTATTTAATTATTCATCTGTTTCAAGTTGAACAAAGAAATTGAAAGGTGTATAAGCTTCTTATTGCTGCTATAACAGATCCCACTAAAACTGTAGTGGCTAAAACAACACAAATTTACTATGCTCCAGTCCTGAAGGTTGAAGGACTGGAATGGGTCTCACTGGGCTAACATCACGGTGTTGGCGAGGCTGGTTCCTTCTGGAAGCTCCAGGGGACAGTCTGTTTTCTTGCCTTTTTGAGCTTCCAGAAGCCACCTGCACTCCTGAGCTCGTGGTCCCTTCCTCCATCTTCAGACCAGCAACAGCCAGTGGAGTCTTTCTCCTGCTGCCATCTCTCAGACTCCTCTACCTCCCTCTTTCCATTTAAACACCCTCAGGATTACACTGGGCCCACATGGATGATCCTGGATAATCTCAGATCCAGCTAATTAGCTACCTGAATTCCTTCTTGCCCTATAAGGTGACATAGTCACCGGTTCCAGGGAATAGAAAGTGGACACCTCTGGTGGACGATTATTCTGCTTATGACAGAAGCCTAGAAAAGCATTCTAAAAAGATATTTGCCAATTTAAAAAAAGAAAAATTATTTAATTTTCTTCCTTTAACATCTCTCTCGTGGAGGAATGGGAATTGAAAGCTACCTTCACAGCTCATTAGGGCCATTCTGTCTGTATCTATGGAGACTTTGCTCTGGGAGTGTGTACCAGGTGCCCATACTTTTGAGAACCACAGAAAACTGCATCTTAAATTGCTCTGGGAAAGAAAAAACCACAAAACTTCCAGTCATGGGGAAGGCATCACTGTGATCCTTGCCATGAAATGCTGAGGTGCAAGTCTGTGCGTAAATTCCAGGGAAAAGCACAGGAAATACCTGTGGAAAGCACGGCTACACAAAGAAGACCTGGAATCGGTACTTTGCTCTTCACCCCGCCTTATAATCACTTTCTCGGCTCCTTTTTTAAGCTTCTTGTTGTCCTTAGTGCTCAGCATTTGACCACTTTATTACAGTGAACATTTGCAACATAAAAAAACATAATTCACATACGATTTCTTAGGTATTTTAGATTTCCATTATAGATAGATGGACAGATAGATACTCTCGCCCAAGTGCTTATTACAAAATAGATGTTTAAAAATGTTGTGACACTTTTCTATGATTGTTTTATATTTCCTTTTGCTTCACTATTGCAGGGGTAACATTAGGGGAAGAGGTGGCTGAATGCAGGTGTGTCTAGCCTCTGTGAGGGGAGCAAGCACAGATGAGAGCCCCGCCTTCCACGTAGCCAATATTTCGGTGCTGGTCAATGATGGTGTGGACACGGTCGTCTCGTAGTGTGATCACTTTGTTGTGCATGTAATCAATGCCCCCAGCTTCCCCCAGACAAACGGTTTTTGGTGGCAAGCAGGCAGCCTCCTCTGCAGCCTTGCCAGCACCCCTCAGCCCCTCTCTCCCCTCATCACTGCCTCCTATCCATGCTGCATGCCCGAGCCCCCCCGACCAGATTACAAGGGTTGTTGCCACCATGGAAACTTGGTATCCTCCATTCTTTAGAAATGCACTTGAATGTACAATCCCACACACCTGCTTAAGATGGTGGCCTGCTTTACTTTAAATGATACTTATGGAGCCCTGTTCTCTCTGAATTTCTAATCTCTCTCTAAGTGGATTTACATGATCCCTGAAACACTAGGGAAGATTAGATTAGAACCTCCTCAGGCTCTTCTTGATGACAAGCTGGATTTATCCAAAACTGTCACAGTAAAAGAAAAAGAGGGTGGGACATTTTTGTGCCAATAAAATACAATAAAAGAAGAAATATTTTAGGAAAATTCAATGTTTATTCTCATTTGAATCCTAATCCTTGTACTCAGTTTAGGAGAAACATAATATTTTTCTTTTGAAAAGAAAACAGAAAAGTCTGTATTTCAATCAATTACTTGCTAAGTTTTCACAATGAGAAGGGATACTATATTTAAATCAGTAAATTTATCTCCAGCTTGTCTATATTTTCAGTAAATGACAAGCGAATATATTCACTGTGGTTGGGTAAAATCATATTTCCCACCAGGATTTACAAGCCTCAGGATTTTCCATCAATGGAAATCCTTTTCCTTCTTTATTTTCCTGCAGCTCATAATGAAGCAAGATATCAAACTTAATGAATTTTATTTGCATGTTAAGTTTAAAACTGCCCATTTTAATTATCTTTTACTTGCTAATTCTTTGTTTTTGATTGGTTTTTTTTTTCTCCCTCCTGATAGCCTGCAGCATTCACAAAAGAATTGCAAATTGGGAGTGAGTTATTGAAGGCTGTCCAGTGTTTCTACTGTTTTAACATCTCTCATTTGGTGTCAATCAGGCTGTGAATGATGGCTATACGAGTGATCTGAACAGAAATAACTATATCCATAAGTAAACTACTTACAGTCAGAAACTCCTAAGACATTAGGTCTTCCCACTGCAAGCCTGGGACCCTCATAGCTAGAGGAGCCAGAAATAGTTGTCTCTATGGAGACCACTCACTGCTTTAACATCTCTGTTCTAGGGCGGGATTGGGATGGGGTTGTGATAATACCCCCAGTGCATGGGAGGGAACAGACAGAGTAACACATCCCTTCTCCTGGAGGGAGAGGAGCCAACGCTCCCTGGAGGTGGGCGCCACTGACAACACAGTCTCCTTGCCTGAAGGTGGGCTGCGGAGTCGTCTTGCTGTCAACAGGGACTCATCTCTTTTCCTTGGTAGAAAGAATTCAGTTTGTCCATGAGAGATTTCATAGCTCAGAAAGAATAATCCAGAATTACCCAGCAGTCATAACGATGCTTCAGTGACAGCACCTGTGATGCTTTAATGGGAATGAATGTTTCTCTCCCTTTATTCACGATTTCCACGCACAGGGTATAGGTACACCTTGAATTTTAATATATCTCTTTAAATAAAGTGTGTGCTCTTTCACCATAAGCACCGTATTAATCAAGCAGTCTCTGTGCATTATTGACATGTGAAATAATCACAGGACTGAAAATAAGGCAGCGTGTGTGGAATGCAGACGGGCTTGCTGCAGCAACAGCATCATCTGTGTCAGTGAGACCTTCTTAGGCACTTGTTTGCATGAACAACAAAAGAAGAAAAGGGAAAAAAACTCTCTTTTTACAAGATGATTGCATAGCACTGTAGGGGAGGGAAAATACTCCTCTACCCTCTGGGTTCTTCTGGCTGATCTAAGAATTAAATTGACGTGAGACAGAATAACAGGAGAAAACCAAACAGTTTAATAACATGTATACATGGGAGAAACCCAGGAAAACTGAGTAACTCGCCAAAATGGCCAAAGCCACCACCTTAAATACCATCTTCAGCTAAAGACAAAGGAGGATGTTGGGGGAGTGGTTTGGGACTTCAAAGGAGAGGAAGGCAATTTACATGGAGATGGAAAAGCCAATGTTTAGCAAACAAATGTTTGCCATGTCTTGCAGAGGCAATGAGACATGGAGAGGACTTTGATCAAATGGGCCTTGCTAGGTTCTTCTCTGTTTGTCACACCTGGTTTATTTCATATTATAGTTATCTTGGTAGACATCTATGGTAGATATGGTAGCTATAGTTATCTATAGATCCTTCTTGGAACAGGCCTTCTATCTTAAATTCTTTTAGGCAGTTAGGGAGAAGGTCAAAATTTCTTCCTGAGTCTTTTGTTCTTAAAAATAATCAAACCAAAGAGACATTTTGGGGTGGCAAATTCTGATTCCCCACAGCACTTTCTGGAGCCAATGCATGGTTTTCTATAATTCTCTTTTACCTGGCTAAAAGGGTAAAATCTTCAATTTTGGCTAAAAAGGGCATCAGCCCAGGCTCCTTGTCACTGCCCCTGTCCCTTGGGTTGCTGGGTCCTCTGGAGGAAGATGGATGCAGAGAAAATGTCCCTCTGCCCAGAACACAGGAAGGCAGCAGTGGGCGTTCCAGACACTCTGGACAAAGGTGGCCCCAGGGAAAGTCTCTAACCAGCTCTGGGCCTGGCCAGCCTAAAATCATTAATGACTTCTGGATTTTCTCCATGGGCAATAAACACTTCCAGCAATCATTGACTTTAGAGTGATTGAAACAAATAGATGAATGTTTGGCTTATTTAGTACACATGATCGTTGCTGAGTTAAGTCCAGCATGTGCATTAGATAATTGTTTTCATGCAATAGCCTCAGCTGATGAATGTTTGGGCGTCTACCCTAAGGTCATTGCTTAGTCATCACAGGGTATGAGAGAGGGACTGGGGCCTCGTGGACCTTTCCACTTACTCTAGAGACACAGAAGCATCTGAGCAGCAAACACCCCATTGATCCCTGGATGAAGTTTACTGCAGGTTCAGCCCAGTTCGTACCACTGGTCTTTCATAACCTGAGGAACCAGCAGTCTCTGTGGTAATGTTTATTTCTTTGAATCTCGTGTGGAGTTTATTTCAAGAGAAACACCAGGCTACTGTAAATGTAACAGAATTTTGAACAGCAGGACAAAAACACAAGTTGCCTAGAGATTTCTCTTTTCCTCCAGCCGTGTGGAGCCGTTGTTATCCTGAAACCTTCTCAGATTTCAAATATCCT